AGAATAGAAGGCTGAAAGTGACTAATTCTAAACGGATGGCATGGGGAAAATGTTCTGGAGAAGAGGGAATCTGAACTTATCTTCAAAGTTTGAATAGTGGTCCAAAGGCACAAGGGACAGAATTCCTGGATTTTGTTCTGAAGGCAATGGGGAGCCATGGAGAGCTTTGGAGTAGAGGAGTATGTTATTCAGAACTATACCATTAAATGATTATTATGCAGCAGGGCAGAAGCTGGATTGTAAGAAAAAACACTGGAGGCAAAGATACCCAATCGAAAGCCTACTTCAAAAGCCTGGGCAAGAGTTAATGAAGGCTTGACCAAGGTCAGGGACAGGGGCCTGGAAGGAGGAGATGTGCAGGAGTCTCTGTGGGAGGTGAAGCCAACGGGAGGCAGGTGCTGCCAGCTTCTCTCATGGTCAACGCCAGCATGGCCTCTCTCTGAGTCTCAGACTCATACTGTGTTTAGGTAAGGGCAGGAGGGCAGGGGCCTTGCTCTGGGGGAACGTGTCAGCAAGCTTCTGTTCTGGGAAAACTGTAAAGACCTCCAGCATTCTTCTAGGCCCTTGACATTGACTTGACCCTGACCAACATTTTCCTGTCAGTCATGCTTGTACTTTTCCACTTAAATGCAAGGCAAGCCTAGTTCCACAGGGATTCCAGGGAGACCAGAAGGGTGAAATCATCTCCCGTCTTGGGATATAGCACGCACGTTATAGCTCTGATCCTTGGGCAAGAGAGAAAGGTATGCAAACAGGTCATCAACAATACCAGGGAGCTTGTGACAGTGATGCAGACACAGAATGTTTGATCAGTGAGGGACCAAGCCTTTATCCCCTGTCTGTCCAATGGCTGCCTGAATTCACAGCAGGAAACAAAGAAGCCCATGTTTATTAGGGTGTATTTTGGGACAGAAGCACATTGGTACTGCATTCATTGTTTGAGACCAATAAAATACTAAATTGCTATAGAAATATACCTTGCCTTGAAAGGACTCCCCTGAGTTAATACTTCTGTATTAAATTAGGATAGTGCTATAATAGACTAATATGATACTGTGCTAATCTGGATAGTGAATGAACTTAGATATGCATATTAATACTTAGTTGGATTAAAACAACCCGTAGCCAAACGCTTCACCACGAGCTTGAGGTTGCTAACATAGTTGTAATTTACTGTAATGTCTTCTCCTAGACACCACCCTCCTCATCAATTTTTATTGTCATAGTCTTTTGGTGGCAATTCGTTGTGTCGTTGACTTAAGGACATTTTACTTATATTCAAATTCAAAGTAAAACTCACTTTGCACCATGCTCAGATTACTCCAATGCTCCAGAAGGAAATATCTTCATTCCTACGAGGCGGCTGGAGCCGGCCACCAGTACATGCGGTCAATCCCTTTCTTGCCCCGTTCAGATGTTCTGCCTTTAAGAATGTTCTTGTGTCTGCAGCACACCAGCCCGACTCAGGAGTCAGAATGTGGAAGGAGTCAAAAGGGCTCTTTTCACAGATCTGCCGTTCAGTTCACCTCCCTTTCACAATGAGCGGGCAAAGGATTGTGAGCGGGTGGAATGACGGAGTATTTCTCCCTTTCTTGCTCCCAGCTGTGGCTATCCATCCAGGCTTTCCTTTCTAAGACCTCTGCAGTCCATCCTGGGGTGGGAGTATTTGTAGTACAAGGACATTATTCTGAAATCCGCCAGTCTTCATGTTAAGTGGATTCTTGCATGTTTGCGCCTGTGCTTATTTTTAAGTAAATTTATGTGTGGTTGTAAGATCATTCTGAGACGGGGGATTACTCAAGGGGCCGTTGCAGTCACTCAGGATAAATGGAAAGGGAGAAGTTTGGGCTTGGCTATTTCTGGGATAAGGGGGTTCCTTGGGGGTAGGGGCCATTAGCCAGCTGTCCAGGTAGTGAAAGGGTCTGAGGCTGATTGGAATGGCCCTAGTAGCTGTGACCACCTGCAGGATTGACCTGGGACAGTCCTATCCAAGGTACAGCCTATGGACCGACAGCATCATCATTCACCAGGGCTGGGTTAGAACCTAACTTTCTCCATCCTCAGCCCAGACCCACTGAATTAGTCTCCAGGCATCGGGTCCAGGAATCTATGTTTCAACAAGTTCTCCAGGTGGTTTTCATGCGTGTTGACCTGTGAGAAGCATTGATCTAAGGTGTGGGGTGTGCCATCCCCTCAAACTATAGTTAAAGCCAAGCTTGCCCACTGACGGGGTACCATCTTTCCCATGATAACCTCTTTCCCCTGCAACGCTTGTGTTCTGGAAACTTAACCATAAATGGAGCCCAAGTTTACATCCTTTCTCAGTTCCCGATAGTCTTTAACAAGTTGCTGGGATACTTTGAAATTATTTGTTTTAAATATAGGGCTGGAAATGTGATATGAAGTTAAACATAGATGAGCTCCATGTTCAAAGACTGAAACCTACAAATGTGCTGGAAAAGACTAGTATTAAGTCAATGATCTTTTTTGTTTTGAAAATCTGTTTGAAAAATGTTTCCAAAGCCCGTTTTAAGAGATCATTTCACTTTAGAGGAGTAAAGGGTAGAGCTGACTTTATTATTCCTATTTGGTAAGTAAGGAGTCTGAGGCCCAGTAGAATATATTCTGAGAGTGCCTTTAACATGGAAGTCTAGCTATGCTTTATCATGTTTCAAAACTTTTCTGGTGGAGCACGTTGCAAAGGTCCACAGTCAGAAGGAAGGTTGAGCTACTGAATCAGATTAGTCTCTCTTCTGGCATTCCTTCTATAGGAATCTTCAACCCCGAATGAAGGGGGAAGCCCAAATCCCACCCGGGCAACAGCGACAAAAGGGATGCATTCCTTGTCTGCTTGAGCTCTGTGGCCCCAGGCTCCGGGGCCGTCATTCAGTGGGCAGATCACCCAGTACCCAGCAGAGGGCCAACAGCGTTTTGATTTTAATAACTCCTAAGCTGAAGATGTCCTAGTTAAACTGAGGCTGGGCAACTACTTAGCAGTTTGTTAATATTTAGACTATTTAGTCATTCGAAACAATGCAATTAAGGATGAATCATGGCTCAGTAACCTAAACAAAATTAAATTAACAAACGAGTGGCCCTCCTTTTGGTCTGGGAGGCTATTTCATAACCTCCCGCCTCGAAATTCCCTGAAATCTTTTTGTGCAGATTTCAGGGCATCCAGACTCTAAATTCCTTCCCTTGTTGGTACAGACCCAGTTGTGGTCCTTGGGTGAACAGCTGGGTACTAAAAGGAAAGGGCATTTTGAAGAGGTTTGCCATGTAGAATCTCTGGGCGCTGACATGACCGGGTAGTTGGTATGAGTACAGACTTTAGGATCAAATAGACAACAACCTGAGTCCTAGCTCTACCTCTTACTAGCTGAGTGACTATGGGCAAGTTATTTATCATTTTCCTATCTAAAATACGGAAATAAGAACAGAATCATATATATATATATATATATATATATATATATATATATATATATGTAATATGTATGTATCCAACAAGGATAATTATTAATGAATTTAAATTTTGAATCAAGTCTATAATACTAGCATAACTCATTACCAGGCAGTTTTCTATATTATATCTTAAATTCTGATTTTCTTTATGTAAACCTACGATGATTAATATCTTTGGAACTCTGAAGATTTTCATGGGATCATAGACACTTGGAGTGTGAAAGAATTCTACCAGTTTTTGAGAAGTGGGTCCATGGAAGCGTGGTGTCTTTCCCAAGGTTGTGCCACTTGAGACAAAGGTGTGAGTGGCATCTATCCCTGTCAAGGGGTCAACTTCTCTTTGAGATAGAGAGAAGCCAGCTTTCCTCACCTGAAAAGTGAGATGTGTTCTCTACAACAGTACTGCTCAATAGAATTATAATAGGAGTCACATAAGCAATTTTAAATTTTCTAGTAGTCACATTTTAAAAAGTAAAAAGAAACAGATTAAAATAATTATAATACTATATCCATTTAACCCAATATATCCAAAACATCATCTCAACATAGAATCAACGTGAAAATTTATTAATGACATATTGTACATCTTGCACCATATCTTTGAAATCTAGGGTGTGTCTTACTCTTATAGCACATCTCAATTCAGAGGCTAAATTTTTATCAGTCATATTTATATGTATTTAATTTCATAATATTTATGGGAGAAAAAGTAGATTCCCATACCCACGTTATTCTGAACATACTTAGATGTTTTCCAATATCTGAATTGAATGTTTTTAAACTAAAACTTACTAAAATGAAATAAAATTCAGAATTCAGCTCATCGGTTGCACTAGCCACATGGCCACGTTCAAGTGCTCCATAGTCACGTGTACCTAGTTAGCCATCCTATTGGATAGCGCAGTCCTGGGCTCTTCTAGCCCTAAAATTCTAAGTCTTGAGAAACCTTGCTACCATCTCCTACACAAAGATGATATAAAAATGATGACAGAGGGGGTAGGTGGCTTGCCTGGAGAGATGACAGATTTGTGGTTGAGAGAACAGTCATTAGGTTCAAATGCTCTTGCTTGGGTGAATTGGGCAATGGTTTAACCTGCGTGAACTCCAGTTTGCTCGCACATGAAATGGGGATTATAACACTTACTTCAGAAAGTTATCAGAATGGTGCAATGTGAAGGTGTTTGTAGAGTACTAACTCCAGGACAGGAATAACATGTGGTCTAAAAGCTTCTGAACGGGTGGCCCCAGATGTCTGCTTATCTCCATCTGACAAATATAAGCCTTTCACGAAGAGTTCATCTTTGATTATGGCGACACTGTAATTGCCTAATAGCCCTCTAGTCATGCCTTTGGGACTGCTGGAAAAAGTCCACTGATACTCTGCAGTTAGAAGTGGTTGCCACTTGGTGATATAATGAGGCAGAATGCTCTTTTTCGATACTAGGCCTTTGTACATGATGTTCCCTTTTTCTGGAATGCTCTTTCTGGTTCCCTCCTTTCTGCAATAAGTAAGCAAATTCTTACTTATTTTTCAGAACCTAGTTCAAGTGTTTCCTTGGGTCTCTTGCAAACAGAATTACTCAGTGTTTCCAAGCATTCTCTACTGTTTTATTTGGAAAGTCATGACGGCTAAGAGGTTATGTGGTGACGGCTAAGAGGTTATGTGGTGACAGTACGGTTTCCTTCTTAGGTAAGTTCACGGGAGGGCTATTATGGAATCAGACAATTTACCTCAAAGAAAAATGTAATTTTTGAGGTCGGGGGATAGTAGCAATACAACTAATAATGACATTAATGTTTGGTACTTTACATGAATTGTTTTATCTAATCCTAAGAGCAGCCCTGTAGAGATACGATTCCCCTTCGGAAATGAGGAAACCTGGCCGAGAAAAACTGATTTTAGAGGCCTGTTCTTAGCCACTGTGCAGCCCAGACTTGCCGTTTTGGAGAACATGACAGACATTGCTATCATCTCTCCCAAATTCACCCTTCTTTTCCCCTTACTAGGAGAACCCCAGATTTGTTTGAGGTATCAGTGTACCCAGTTAAAAACACTCACTGCTTCAGACTCCCTTGTCACATGCCTAAGGCTCCTGGGACAGACAGTTCTGACAGGCCTTTGCTCCTTGCCTCTTCTTCCTTTCTCTAGCCTGAAATTTGCAGTTGACGCCTGGAGGCACAGCAGCCTTCTTGTGACTATGAAGTCAAGAGCCATTATTCTAAGGATCACAGGACAGGAAGCTAGGAGGAGCCAAGATATTTGAAACTTTGACCAGCTATACCTCCCTGGGCTGCTGCATCCAGACTTCCCATTAGGTTATCAATATTAAATCTCCATTTAATTCAGCGGCTATAGTCAGATTTCAGCTACAAGCAGCCAAATGTGGCCCCCGTTAACGGAGAGCATTTAGAGCCAGCCAAGAAACCCAGCAAGCTACATTAGACTTCTTCCTCTTCACAAACTGCTACTTGTTAGAGTCTCTTCTAATTTGGCATTTGCTGTAGGCCCTTATCATTTCAACTGACTGGACAAATTTCCTGTCCTCCTTCCAGAAACTGGTTTTGTTGCCTCCATGATATTTCCCAAGAAGGGTATTTTCTTGGCTGACTGGAGTCATTCCTCCTGGACTATCTGCAAGGTTTCCCACAAATAGCACAGAGATTCATCTGGTAAAACTGAAGATTGCATGGTCATGGTGACAAGGATTCCTGCCTCCCCTCAGGCCAAAAGTCAAGTGGTGCAGAAGCCTGGAGTCCAATTTCCAGAGCAATCAAATAAGCAGCTAAAAGTGACGTCCTAGGACAGGGATTGGCAAACTACAACCTGTAGACCAAATTCCACCTGAACCTGCTTTTGTAAAGTTTTACTGAAACACAGACATGGCCATTTGTTTATGTGTTGTCCTTGGAAGTCTGCTATAATGGCTGAATTGAGTAGTTTTAACAGAGATGGTATAGCCTGTAAAGCCTAAAATATTTACTAGCCCTATACCTCCACAGAAAGTTTGTTCACTCCTCTCAGAGAACGACTAGCTATGGAAGAAAGACATATCAGAGATCGAACAGTAGAAGGAGAAACAGTAGAAGAAACAACAACAGCTCCAGCCCCCTTTTATCCTACCAAACACAGTGCCAATTAGGTCTCTGCCCCAGTTCTGAAAGGTGCATTTGAACTATTCATTTTATGTGTAAGGATTCTGAGGCTTGTAGGAGGATAAATACCTCCCCTGAGGTCACATCTCGTGATTGATGAAGCCAGAATTCTAACCCAATTCTGTGTGGATCTAAAGATCACAGTTTTAGTCATGAATCATTAACTATTACACTACATTCCTCCTCTTCAGTTTAATCCAATTCCTATGGTAAATACTAAAGACAACACAGAGAGCATTTTAAATTAAAAAATGACTATGTGGAAGGAGAAAATCTACTTAGTTCAGAAAGGTCCAGAACAAGGAGGTCAGGATACATGCCCCAAGATAGGCAGCAGAAAAGGAGATCCAGGACCTAAAATGGGTGGAATGAAAGTGCCAGTGAGAATGGAGGGACATTGTTTCTCTGTTCAAACTGGGCCCCGTCAGTGTCAGTCTATGTGGAGGGTCTGTCCAAATAGCTCTCCTTTCATCAGATGACATAACACCTGGAACGCCACCATTAGCCCTCAACTGAAAGAGGAGCTATCACTGAAGAATGGTGCTAATCTAGTGGGAGGCCTCTGAGGACCTGGGTCACAGGGCCCAGTGCTCACTCCTCAACATACTTCTGTGCAAGTTATCAGTGACTCCATTAGGTGTGAGCCATGACTTCATGCTTGAAAAAAAGAGAAGTGGATGACAGATGTTGAGCTGGAGGACATGTGCTGAGGCCTGGGGATTTGCAGCGTATGTTTAGCCTGGGAACATCATACCACAGGAGAACACATATGGAAAGAACGGGGTGTGTCTGAAGACTTAATGTAAGTCTGATGTGAGCCCAAGTTTGGAGGGGGCCACTGGAAAAACTAATTTGGTCTTTGGCTTTACATTAGTTGAAGTATGATATCCAGGGCATGGAAGGTGACAGTTCCATTTAACCCACCCAGGCAGAACACACCAGGATCTGAGAAGATGGAAGTGAAGGATATGAAAGGTCTGGAGATCAACAGCTGTACATCTATCCAAAAATTTTGAGACCCTACCATATGCAAGGCACAGTGGTCTTTGTTGGATATGCAAATGATTTTACCTTTGAGCAGGGTATACAGACATTAAATCAATGATTACACAAACATAGAATTAGGAAACATGGGCTGTGCCATGAGGCAAAAGTACACAGTGATGATGTAGGTTATAACAGGATCCTTAGGTTAGACTGCGTCTCTAGGAAGACCTGTAAGAACATGACATTTAAACTGAGACCTAAGAAGAGGTCAGTGGGTGGCAGCCTCTCAACCAGTGATGAAGAGCAATGCAGGCAGAGGTAACAGCAAGGGCAAAGGCCTGGAGGTAAGAAGGAGGAAGATGCCTCAGGGCATTTAGGCCATTTTAGAGAGCTGGATTTCAATCCCAAGTTCAATGAAGAGCTATTGGAGGGTTTTAAGCAGAGACAAGATAGGACCATTCTGTATCGTTGCTTTGGCTGCTGTGGGATTAGAGGAGGCACAAGATTAGAAGGGGAAAGGCCAGCTCTAAGGCTGCTGCAACAGTCCAGCCTAAAGGGCATGACAATAGAGCCATGGAGGAATGTCTGGAAGCCCTGGGAATTGAACCCTGGAGAAACAAATCTTTGTAGGGAATGTAGTATTTGTCTTCCTATCTCCAAATAGCGAGGATGTGGAAGAGGGACTGGTGTCCGTCAGTCCTGCCAAAGAAAGAATAAGTAGCAATGTCAGACGGCTATTGAGGAGGAGGTTTTCACTCAGCATAGAGAACCTCCAAGGAAGCAGTCACCTGGATGCTGCTTTCCAAAGCATGCTACAAAGCGGGGCTTCTGGAGTCTCCTTCTGCGGCCTTTTAGATCCAAGAAATGCTCCGTGAGAAAATAATTCAGTAACTAATTGAACGAGACATGCCGTACACACTCTTCTTGGAGACTCACCTTGTATCTGACTGGATTCTGTAGCAGTACTAAGTCCTGCTGCTAAGAAACTAATTTGGCAAGATTTAAGCCACCATTTTCCAAACTTATCTGCCCCAGAACTCTATAATAAAACTGCCTATTAATATTCTGTGAAACCAGTGGTCAATGGGACACACTTTGGAGGACACTGCTGTAAAGAACTTATCCATGAGTTCAAGGGTGAGTTCTAAAGTTTCTTCCAAGTCTATAATCTGATGTTCTGTGTTAGGCTTGACTTTATTCTTGCACTTCCCTTTTACAAAGCGGATATTTCTGATGTGACAGGAATTCCGGTGTTGAGAGGATCATAGTGCATGCAAAGAGTGTTATGAGATAGATGTAGATTTAAACCTTGACCCTCCCACTTACTAGCTGAGTGATCTTGAGTCATCTCTTTAACCTCTGTGATGTTAGTTTCCTCATTCGTAAAATGGGAAAAATGTTAGTGCCAACCACAAAAATTGTAGAAAGAACTCAATGAAATGCGTAAAGGCTAGTAAGCAATCCATAAACGGGTGCATAGGATCAGTCAGGAATGGCCCTTGTGGTTACCATTAGCCAATGACCCAGGCCAGTGGTTCTCCAACTTCAGTGACATCAGCATCATCAGCATGATCTGGAGGGCTCGTTGCAACACTGATGTGGAGCCCCACCCAAGAGCATCTGATTCAGTAAGTCTGAGGCCCACCTGTTTTCTATTTCTAACAAACTCCCAGATGATGTCAGTGCTGCTGGTCCAGCAACCACACTTTGAGAACCACTCAACTAGGTTGGTGTTCAAAGTCTCCCCCCCAATTTTTCTCCATTCTGGAAGACAGGATCAGGCTTAATTTGCAGGTTATTAATGAGACAACCCCAGAGTGACTTTCTTCTTACGCAGTTTCCTTCTTGGGGCCCAAACTTGGCTCTTCATGAAAGGGAACCCCCTACCCCACTCCACAGGTGTATTAGAGTGGGGGTGAGGAGGACAGGAGACACAGGAAGCGAAAACGCATTCCAGGAGGGGAGAGGATCAGACTAGTTCACACATCTTGGGAGGCCTTTGGTATAGATGCTCGGATTCAAAGACTGTCTCCCATTTATCCTCCAGGCCTGGCTTGGCTCCTGGAGAAGCAATTAATCTTTGGTTCCATTTTCAACCATTTTTCTCCCATTTCAGAGCCCCTGTGGAGGATTTTCCTTCTCACTGGAAGCTCCTAAAAAGACAAGTCCATTTTTTTGGCTTGTCTCCATTGTTCCCAGGAGTTTTTAGGTTCGTTAAAAAAAATACCCATACTTTATTCTCCATTCAAAGTGCTTTTGCAAGTTCTGACATGTTTCCTTGTACCATGTTAAAGGCATGGGGTGAGCAGGAGATGATCTCAATAGAAAGAATATTTATGAACTATTATATTTATAAACACCTGGCATTTACATAAACAAGGGAACTGGGATTTTTAACAAGGTAACCTCTCCAGTTTGGCGTTCAAATAGAAAACATGCTTGTGTTTTTCTTGTGCATAGGGAATCTCATTGAAAGTACGTGGCACCCAGACAGTATTTTAGTAAACAGTGGTTTTAGTCTCTGGTGAGTTCTAAATTAGACACAACAGATGTGATATTGCAATAGTTAATGATTCTCCCTGGTTTCTTTTCATTTAAGGAGTGATGAATGTCATCTTTATGATGATAAGTCCCCTTGAAGGCTTTGCTGTGGCAGTTGCAATGCTGAGCCCAGAAAGGTGGAGGGACAGCATGCCCAGAGCAGACTGCTGATAGCAGGCTCCTCACCATGGGTGTGCCCCTCCCCTAACTGTCTACCCCCTGCCCCACCCGCCACCCCCCAAGTGGCACCAGCCCCTCCTTTCATGTATGAGGAGACTGAGCTTCATGAGGGTCAACTGTCTTACCCAAGGTCACAGAACTCCTAAGCAGCCCAACCAGAACTGAACCAAAGTCTGCCGTAGTCTAGAGCATCTTCCACCCAGACTACAGTCAAAATATTTTGTAGAATTATAAGTTCCAACTTCTCTTGTTTTTATTTCTTGGCCTTAAAAAACTCCAGTTATTAAATTTTTTTTTCTTCAGTATAGCACCAGATGGTGGAAAGACACATATATTAAGCTTCAGACCCTGATCTCAAATCTAGCCATCACCACCTACCAACTGTGAGTATAACTTGAACAAGTTGTTTAGACTCCCAATCTCAGTTTCCTCATTTGTGAAATTGGTGGTGGTATTCTCTCTTCCTGCGGGACCTCTTGAGATAATGAAATGAGATGCTGTTTGTGATGTGCCTGGCACACAGTGGAAGCTCAGAAAATGTTAACTTCTTTCCTTTGCTATCCATTTGGTTTCTCACTATTCTTCACCATCTTCTCCTATGCTCCTTAATGAAGGCTGGACTTTTCTTAAATGTTTTGCCCCGTTCTCCAGGAAAGGCTTCTTTTCCAAGCTCTGAGACTCCCAGGAGATACACGATCCTGCAGCCAAGCACACTCGCTAAGACTCATCCATGTGAGTCATGGATTTTCTCTCTAGGACCTGCGCCTGGTGAGTTCATTTCCACATCTTCTTAATCCCACGTCACTAACAACAGTAGAATCAATAAAACCCACGTGTGATGCGAGACCACAAATCTGTTTACCTGTTTGAATCAGGCAGGTACCTACTCTGTTGGCTCTGTCATTAAACCTCTGGGAAAATACTTTCCACACCTGGAAATATGAACTGGAAATCTCATCATGAGAGATAATTCCCAGGCTTCACTACATTGTGATGCTCAGGAAATTTTGACCTTGCTTTGTTTTGATCTGGACTAGAGTCAAAAAGCATCTCTTAAATGAAAAATCATTTTCAGAAGGGCTGAAAACGTGGAGCCGTTCATTCTGATTGCCACTGGGTGCTTTTCATTCTGCTCAGCGTCTTTATCCCTAGCATCAAAAAAACACAAAAAAACGTCGAATTGACTAGAGGCCAAGTTGGGTGACTTTGGTGAGAAAAAGTGTATGAAATAAGAGGTTATAATCACTGAGAGCCTAAAAAGAGTGTAGGAGGTGAAAAAGAAAAAAAAATGACCTGGAAATTATACTTGTCTATTTCTTTTTTTTTTTTTTTGGACAGAACTGAATACATTTTCCAGGCTCTTGAGTTTAATTAAATTCAAAGGAACATCTCAAAGGCAAGTGAAAAAAAAAAGAACAGACAAGACATTGAGGTGGCTGGAATAAGAAACTGTGTAGAATGTTATGGAAAGACAAAACCAAAAGCAAGGAAAGGAAAGATGATGGGAGAGGAGAGGTGGGGGAGGGGAGGCAGGAGGGGCAGTGAGGAGGGGAGAGGTGGGGGAGGGGAGG